AAGTACGCCGAAGAAATTTATTTACTCACTACTGACCTATGCTAATAAAACAATAGTACTAGGAGTTACAAGATGGAAACACCGCCAGAGGCTATACGGCTTTCCTGCAAGCAACGTGACCCTTGTCTGCCGTCTCGAAAGCTCAATCAAGAGATACCAAAGACTAGCAGTAAACTTCCAACAAAACGTTTTCTATGCAATGGCAAAGGTATAATTATATTTGACCGCCAATCTCGTCAAGTTTCCGTACAATTGTCCCATCAAAGCCGTCACCCTCCCTACCTAAGCACCGGCATCCCAGCCAAATGGATAAAATTTATTATTGAAAGACAAGACTGGCACTTTAGCGATCTGGTATGTACTAATTTAGTATTCTTATCTGACTTCCTAGCTGACGTTGCTCTCCACTTAGCTTTGGAAGGCGATTGTAGAGGAGAATGAACGAAATGGCAATGGCCCGCTCCTGTTCACTGAAAAAATGGTGACCAATTTCTTTGGAAGATTTCTTGTGAACAGAAAAGGAAAGGGTACAATCGCCTCGGATCACTTACTACAGCTTTGTGTTAGGTCACAAAACGATTCGGATTCTGATGCTCCTTGTCCACCTCCTTCATTTATAGGTGATGTGTACGACGAAATAGACATAGATACTTGGGTCTACGAAGGAGACTATATCCCATCGCCGGTTAATGATGGAAATGCCGGTGAAGATGAGGGCCCTGAAGATGAAGGCCCCATTGTAGGCGCACTCTTGGGGAAGAAAGTGAAGGTAACGTCACTTCATTAGTGCTATAGTGACGAGGCTTTATCTGACGTTTGGTAGAGTTATCACGAGAAGCCTGTCAGACGAGCAAGGTTAACCTCGACCTGAAACGGTGATATATGACCAGATATCATCGATTGTTCAAGTTAGGCCACTTAACTCTTGACAGCAAGGTTTCCTCGGTACGGGCAACAAGTCCACAACCCGAGCCAGCCCAATCCATTCTAACGAGAAGACATGACTGGGTCATCTGCAAGGTCCCTCTCCAACATTTCCTCTGTACATTCCTCACTATATCATCTACT